CACACACACACACACACACACACACACACACACACGCACACACACACACACGCACGTACACACACACACACGCACGTACACACACACACACGCACGCACACACACACACACGCACGCACACACACACGCACGCACACACACACAATTTGCGTCTTGCTGTTTTTGGTCGAGTTTGTTTAATTTTAATTTTTTGTTATGTATTTAATAATGAAAATCCGTAATTGGCATTAAGATATGTTAAAATTGTTCTACTATTATTTAGATAAAAACTTGCTGTGGATTTTTTTCTTGAAATAAATAAATAGTTTCGTGTTTAACGTAATCAAAAAATCATATCTTAGGTATTTTAGAGTAATAGTTATTCTAAGTTGTGCCGCAATATTCGAGTTAAATAAATAGGTACGCTAGGGTAATTGTTATTATAATAAAATTAGTTTCTGTAACCCTCACAAACTGTTTTCATTAACTTAATTACTGTATAGTACCTACTAATTTTCCGCCCGCGGCTTCATCCTCGTGATTAACATGATTTTCAAAGCATTGTAGTTTTCTAGATCATTTCCTAGAGAACTTACTACGTCATAATAACTATTAGTATGCAAAAAATTCAGCACGTTCCATCCAGTAGTTTGTAACAATTTCGAACTTAGAGATTAATAGTTATAATTAGCATAAGTTTCGATCAATTATAACCTACTCCTACTTCAAAAGGTACCTAATAAAGGTTTTGTAATGTTCACAGGTTCTCAGTGGTGTAACTACAGGGTGGGAAGACAGCAAAATGCCACTGGCCCTCAGCTGGAATGTGCCCCTGATCAGAGGAGACTCCTTACTCCTGACATTTGTTATTACGCAATTAGTAAAAAAAAATGAATATCCGTTGAATTTGCCACGGGCCTCAAACGGTACAGTTACGCCACTGCAGGTTCTTTACATTTAAACACTTTTAAGACATTATATTTGATCAATTTTGCATTCAAAATGCTATACTGGAAAATATTCTTAATGAAAAAATTTGAATTAATCCACTAGCTCAGGTACTCTGGAGATTAGACCAGAAACCACGACCTTTCGTAATCCGGGCGACTGCTGAACACTGACCACTGACTGGGTCCGAGTCCCATCTCAGAGAGCCTGGGACAAGTGGAGTTTTTAAGCATTATTCATTAAGAATACTCTTTTAAATCATTAAAAGATTACGTTTCATTAATTTTCATTTATCATCGGCATCCTTGTGTCAAGAAAGGGAAAGATACAGGTGCCAACTAAATTGGCTACCCATTTTTGGTGCGTGAGACGCAATCGTATATTTTTATTTTATTGTCATTATAATATAATAATAATAATAATGTCTTTATTTGCAATAAATAGGGTTATATATACAGTTGTGATATTTCAGTTTAAGAGCTTTGACCTATTTAGCCATCTTGAACAGCATGCAAAAAAATATTAATATTGGTAAAATTTTTGTGTTTGTTTGTTTGTGTGTGCGTGTGTGAATTAATTGCATTGTATATTTATATGTATAAAGTATACTTTTGCTCAAATGCACTGCCCTTAATTGTTCTCCGTATCTAATTTCCTTCTTGCGGTTGCCTGGAAGAGATCGCTTTTAAGCAATAAGGCCGCCAATTGCTTCGTTATCTTTGTGTATCTTGTATGTTCTTTTTTGTTGTGCAACAAAGTTTATTATTATTATAATTATTGGTACTTCACAATACGTAAAATGTAACCTAAAATTGTATGTCTTATTTTTGTACCGGAAAAATCATTAATTCATAAAATGTATGATTATAATTTATATTATGGGCACATATAGTACGTCAAAAAATATTTTTAACCGACTTCGAAATCGACAAGGAGGATGTTATCGTGTTCGACGGCGATGTATTTTATTTTGCACGTCAGTTCGTTTGGATTTCGCAACGACAATAGTCCTCATATGAGTTAATAAATAAATTAAGTACATTTATACTAATATTTTGTGGCGATCTTGTAACACTGTGTATTCTGAAACTCGGGTAATTTTTTATCGTACCTTTTAAAACGTTGAACATACGAGCACTCTATGTCAAACACCGTAGCAGTTTCGTTTGATTGAACCTCTAATGCTGTTGTGTTCGACGCTGTATTGTTTTAAACAAAATAGCGGAGCAGTGCATTGCCTATGTACTTTTATATACATTTAGTAGTAAATAGAATAAATTTAATTGCGACTTAGCATAACTGACGAAGTTTAAATAGATAAGTTTATATATTTTTTATATATTATAAATGTATATATTGTTTTAAATCTATTCATGACACAAACAGCCCTTACAAATATATTACACTAGTGGCCGCCAGCGACTTCGTCCGCGTTTTCCATTATTTCTTCGCTCCTAATAGTTGCAGCGTGATGTTATATAGCCTATAGCCTTCCTCGATAAATGGTCTATTCAACACAAAAAGAATTTTTCAATTCGTACCAGTAGTTCCTGAGATTAGCGCGTTCAAACAAACAAACTCTTCAGCTTTATAATATGAGTATAGATATACCTATAGTAAAATACGAAAAGGACACTAAACTTTATTACAGTTTTTATAACTTATAATTATGAATATGATTATAAATATTAACCACTCAATTTTAATTGTAGTTTCTTGAACCGCTTTTAAGTTTAGTCGGTACTCATAACAATGCAACAAGCTCGTCTTTTCTAGGAAAGTATTATTCTACATATCAGGTAGATCTCAAAGGAGTGGGTAAAAAGGAATTAAAGTAGAAATTATTTCGACAAATTAGAAAATCCACAGGTCACAGGTCCAGCTAGAAGGACCTAAAAACTATAGATACGAGTACCTACAGTTTTACGGATATGTAGGGTGAGGGAAACGTAAAAAATCACCAAACCCAACGGGGGTTGTTTTAATATTATAAAATTATAAATGACATTAATAATAAGTGAATCGATGTCACTGATCAGACGATTTTTTTTACCTACATACAATGTACATTGACTCTTGTATTATGTTCTATTGTTTCATATATTTATGTCAAATCCTCCCATATAATATTTATAAACTTCAATGTCATACACAAATATTGTCGACCATCAGTGTATCGCACTAATGTTTATTCGAACTAATTATTCACATTACAATTTTGTCGCACAAACATTCATCGCACTTTTGTTGAACTCATGCGGTGCACTCACAGAACATTGGGTGCACTCCATCAATTACAGTATTAAGAAAACGTAATAATAATATCATAATTTTAATAAGAATTGTAGAACTCGTGTATTTATGTTTTGTGTGTTTTATGAACAACAAATTAATACTTTAATATTTAAAAGTACAATTAATTGACTAATACAGTTACAGTGGTTTAACTATATATCAGAACATAAGATCAAACCAATGAAGATTATACCGTGGGATACCTGACTCATCTGTAATAATAGCCTTGATAAATTCTCCGCTATAATATACATCTATAGGTATTTATAAGTACAGTTCGCTGAATTTTATATTTCATTATTCGTACCAGATTTAAGTCCATAGTTTGCTCCTTGTGAGCTTTCATCATTTTCGAACTTTACTTTGAACACATAAAGCCTAAAATCGATTGTTACAAAGATATATCTTCCAAACATCTGCCAAATAGATGAAATTATGTGATAAGTACGGAATATTTATTATGACGCTGTCAAAGCTAAAGTGTGCCAAGTGTGCCTACCTAAAAAGAATATATTTAATGAATAATTCTGTAAAAAATTTACCTCTCATATTTTATGTTTGAGAATATTTATTCTTATTTTACTGATAGTGCTATCTACCAGTAAATAGATTTTTTTTTAAATTTATTTTACATTTTAAATGTAGAATTAAAGCACTTGGGTCTTGTATCACTATTAGTGCCATCTATCGGTGAGTGGAAAAATGAAAGAGTAACAATATTTTTAATAGAAACCGATACCGATATTTAAAACAAATAAAAATGAAAAATTATTTAACGAAAAAGGAAATTCTCGTAATCAAAATATGTCGCTAGGTGTAAATGTGTTCCGATTTTTCTTCATAAATAGAATTTCAAAAATGCAATAGGTAAACCCTCTATTAAACATTTTGACGTCATTAGTGACAGAAATTTGTTTCTTTTTTATATTTCTTTGGTTGATTTAATCACATAAGTGTATGGTTTTAATCAAAGAGTAATGTAAGATACATATTTTGGTGTAACCAGATTATAACAGCGACATCTAGTAACACATTGATACTTCACCACATATTTAAGAATATCGCGATCGGCTAATGTTCAATAGATTCATCATATATCATTATGATTTTGCACTTTTATTGCAATGAGATGAATGAGATGTCCTACGGTACGTTCTTGGTTTCATCATGACAACCCTTTTGGGTTTTTTAGTTGTTTAGTTTTCAAAACTCAATAAACAACTCATATTCTATTTGTATTTTTTCGTATATGTATTGATATCTAAGTTACGAACTTTGCAAATTTAATTTTTTTTATATGTTAGTTAAAAGGAACGGAAACGACACTGTTTAGTCCATTCGTTTCCTGCAAAAAAAATATTCATACTACACGCTTTTTAATATAGCAAAATGCGTTTCAAACATTTGCAAAAATGATTATTATAAAACTGTAAATGAAAATGCATCTTTTGATTTACAAATGAATCAATAAGAAAACCTGGAATGAAAACACTAGCGCTATCTTTTGGAAGTCAGAGCCACTATCCAGGAACCACGACATAAATACGTGAGGTGATGCATTCATACCTCAGAATAAAAAAAAACTGAATGGAAAACAAAAATTACATCCGCTGTATTCTTTATTTATTGTAAAAAGTTAAAAATATGTTATTTGAGATCATATATTTTATTTTAAGTTTTTATATTTATTGTGGTGTGGCTGTACAGTTATGAGTTCGTTTGTCATACCAATACCAAAAGATTTAAAAATAAATTTAAAAGTGTAGAAGTTGTCATACTCGGCGTTTTTGCTTGTCATCCAATAAAAGTTTCTAAAAGCGCTCGAAAAACTCACAGAAAATCTATCATGGCTTTAGTCGATTTGTGCCGTCTAGACGAGAAAATAAATTTGAAACCTGTGGACTCACTCGCATCTTTCCAGAATGACGTGATTGGATACAGCCAGAACTTCGTAAATAGTGCACAACTTGCTGTGCCTCCTTTCACAAACGTAAGGTTATTTTGCATAAACAGACGTTAATATTTCAAGTTCTTCTTTATTAATCCCTTTTGTATATTACTTTCTAGCCCGTAGAGACTCTAGCTCAATTTAACACAAAAGATGAGACTGGCAAGAGTATCAAAATCGAATTCGATCACGGAACCACTACTCTTGGCTTTCGCTACCAGGTAATTAAAAACAATAATATATTATCAATGTATTTCGTCACGCGCACTATTTATTAACAACTACAAAGCTCATTTTCAAAAACATTTCTTGTATTCTTCATCTCAGGGAGGAGTATTACTGGCTGTGGACTCGCGAGCAACTGGTGGCCAATTTATTGGTTCACAAACAATGAAGAAAATTGTTGAAATTAATGACTATTTATTAGGTAATTGGATCATAACTATTTTGATGTCATTTAAGGCCTACACAATTTTTATAACCAGCACTTTTGTACTGATCAGTATTATTTTTTTCATTAATCAGGTACTCTGGCTGGTGGTGCTGCTGATTGTGTCTACTGGGATAGAGTACTGGCCAAACAATGCCGTCTGTATGAACTGCGCAACAGGGAACGCATTTCAGTTGCAGCTGCTAGTAAACTTATGGCTAATATGGTGTATAATTATAAGGGAATGGGTCTTAGTATGGGCATGATGCTAGCAGGTTATGATAAGAGAGTAAGTTTATGTTTAGCTTAGTAAGAAAGATAAATTGTAAGTGTAATGTTAACTATCTATAAAATCTTTTCTATATTACACAAGATGAATCTTGTGAATCTATCTTCTTTGCCTTAACATATTATTCTGCTATTGTTATTGCAATTGTAGCGGGTTAATGGCACATCAATAACTACTAGATTACAAAATAAATAATCCATTGATTTATGAAGAAGATATTGCACTATTATTAAGCCTCTGTCATATAGTGTAATAATAAAATGTAATTAATAGAAATTAATTGAAAAATTAGTATCAGTAGCGCTTTAGCCCTGCCTCCTTTTACATTTACTTGCCTAACATAATATTTCATATGTAAATACAACAACTTAAGCAAGGAACAACTGAATAACAAACACTGATTGGTTTATGCTTATAACAATAGGAATAAGGACTATGAAAGCTCATTTTTAATGACCTTTTTTGATTTTTGAAGTCATTGTTAATTCTGTTCTAGGGAGCACAGCTGTACTATGTAGACAGTGAAGGTACTCGTACACCGGGTAAGGTGTTCTCTGTGGGCTCTGGTTCAGTGTATGCCTTTGGTGTCCTGGACTCTGGTTACAAGTGGGAGCTCACTGATCTGGAAGCTCAAGGTGAGTGCCTACAAAAAGTTATCATCAAACCACATAATTAATCTATAGAGACTGGCCTAGTATAGTAGCTGTTATGCTGGTTGAAACAAAAATTACAGGAATGACTTAACATCAAATTGCTAAACTATTAAAAAAGGGTTTTATTTCAACAGTATTCTTTAATTCATAATTTATTTATTTATTCAACAAAGCTTGACATCAGTTTGTTTATTAAAAATAAGTATACAGAATTGCCAAATTACAGTTTTGAAACATAATTTTACTATCATAAGGAGGATAGATAACAAAGTATGACTCCATACAAATGAAGCATGAGGAAAGTTATTTATTATATCAACTTTTAAATGAAATTATTTTCTAATACATTATTCCATCCCTATCCATGCCTCTACAAGCACTATAACGACTTATCTTGGCGTCTGAGCAATGTATGTGATGTTGTCTAATATATTTTTATTGCTCATGATGGGCAATCACTGAGTGCCACCATGATTGTCACCATCATTGCGCCGTAGTCCACACGATCGGCCATCCCACATTTGTTAATTCTCATCTTGACTATATGGACACCGAACTTCCAAATTGTCCTTTTGGTATACTTCTATAAACATAAATGGTTCATTATAGGTCTTCAGCACAACATTTAAGCATCGATTACAGGCGCGTTCGCACCATACCGTAAAAAAGTACGGACTGATAGATCGGCGATTGTGTGGACGCGCGAACGATCATGCCCAAACCTTTGATAATTGTCCCAAAAACCGACACAGTGACGATCAGCCACGATTATCGCCGATCAGCCACGATTATCGTCGATCAGCCACGATTATCGCCGATCATGGGCCATTATAGGTGATCATGCCGTCTACAAAATGGTGATGGCCTGTGATCGAACTTTATGGGCCGCGATGTGGAGACAGTGTTATATTTATTCATAAATTATTTATTGTTGCCGTCTAGAGCTGGGCCGGCGCGCCATCTACCACGCCACGCATCGTGACGCGTATTCTGGTGGTATTATTAGAGTGTACCACATGAGCGACAAGGGATGGGTCAACATCTCCAACGAGGACTGCAGTGAACTACACTACAAATATCAGGCAGAGAAGGGTGTAAAGGATGAATAGGTTTTTTTTTAAATAAATACATGCAATTGTAATGTTTTTTTTTGTTCAACCACCCCTATTTCATATCTCTATCGATAAAAAACTAAGGTTGCTTATTCTAAAGCTGAGCTGATTACGCTAGTTTTAAATTATTCTGGCCGATAGGTGATGAGCATTATTAATAATGCCGGAACAATTTGACTAACTTTATATAGAGGCCGTCAGCGCAAATGTGGCCTAGGCCACAATTTTTCATATTCGTACTTTATTGCAATTTATTTAAAACTTAATAAATAGGGATGATGACTAATTTTTGTTTGTTTGTCCGTCAGGTAGAGTGTTAAAAAATATTAAACAAGTATTTTTTATTTTTTTCGTAATCATAAAATTACGGCGTTACATGGGAGTTGAAATTTCGCATGACGTCACGTTAGGGTACGTTTTCTACTCAACTGTGACGTAGCGAGCCCCCACTCCTCAACTTTAATGCCTGTTATCTAAGCTATTTCTTGTTAAATTAAAGTAAAAAAAAAATACGTGTCTAATATTTTTCTATTATCTGACTGACGGATTAAATAGAATTGCATTTTTTTTACCCAGTCATCATCCCTATTATGAGGCAAACCTGGCCCTATTTGAAAATAAGGCCAGTTTTTCCTATGTGAAAATAAGGCTAGACCTTTTTTGCCTATATAAAATTAGGTTGTGCTGAAGGTCTCTTTTTCATATTTGGTATTTTTGGCAATGTACAAATAGTGGGGGTACAAATAACAACAACCTTTCTAAAAAGTTTACATTAACTTTTAATAAATTGCTTTGCAGTCTTACAATAAACTTTATAACATATTAATACATTTAGCATAAACCTACTTCTCCATCGTGTTTTTAGTAGGTGTTGATAGCAAACTAAATATAACGGATATTATTCAAAGTATGTAAAATGAAACATGATTATCCAAAGATGAGAAATAATTAAATGTGCATATTTTAAAGAATCATGTGGACTGTAACATAGCTCTGAATTAGACCTAAACAAAGTTAACGAGTCTTTGACTAGACAGTTTTAATACCAATTAAACAATAATCATAAAAAAGAATTAAACACAAATGGTTATAATGGCTTATTATGGCTTCTTCTCAGTAAATTTGCTGCAAGGATCTTCAGTTTTGGATTCATTACTCTCTTCAGTTTTTGGTTTGGATTCTTTCTTTTCTACTATCACCTCTTCATAGCTTTCTTCAAGCTCCCAGTCTTTGAGAGGGTAATCTGTTAACTTGTAGAATTTTCCATGCTTCCCTATACCTGAAATATTGTGATTTGTATTTAAAAAAATGCAGCAATCAGAAACATTTGGATATTTCCAAAGCTTTTTCAAGTTATTTCGACAATTAGGTGCGATACCATAGTGCCCTCACAGTAAAATTGGAAACGTGTTGTGTCATTGCTGACGCATGTAGTTTCATACATATTTCTATTGCATTGCAATACACACGAATGTATCTCTAACCATACTAAATGTATAAAACTTTGTGTCTCTGTCCAGATGACGAACTCGATGGCGCAGTGTATAAAGCTTTTGCTCTGTGATACGATTGTTATGCAACTTCAGCAAAAGACGGTAGTGGGTTGGGTGACGAAAAAAATATTATCTCGAACTCTGTTGTGCTTTGGAAGGCACGTTAAGCCATTGGACCCAGCTGCTTTTGCAATCATTAACAGCTATCAATCTGCACAGGACCCGCGCGGTGTCATGGCCCAGTCTCCTTATTCGATTCCATCCATAGGGAAGGCATGAACTCCAGAAGTGGTGACATTAATAGGCTGATAATGAGATACTATACTCACCCCCTTGGAACTTTTTGACTCCGGCCTTAATGTCTTCTATAGCTGACCCTAACAGGCTGGTCATGACTGCCTCGTCTCTCATACTCTCTTCACTGTTGGGGTTCAGCTGTGAGTTGACAGCAGCCAGTTTGTCCATTATTAACGCATTTTGAGGAAACTTTGTAAGAGATTTTGCAAGCTTCATTGCTTCTCCTAGTGCTGAAATGCAAAATTAACTAAATATGTTATTTTGATTCTTGATCATTATATGTATAACTACTAATAAATGGGATATTTAAATGAAACAATATTGATTTAAGTTAATTTTGGTGAATGGAAAATATTAATCAGATCTGAAATAAAATCTATCAGATTAATTTTTCTCCAAAAAGAGTAATAAATAAAGAAAAACATATATTTATTTATTCATAAAGTTCCCTCGCACAAACGATCGGTCACGTGACATTCCGAACCGTGTCTGTACACAAAACGAGTACTGGTTGCATTCGTAAAGGATGTTAATGTATAGTTTATTGAAATGTGACGTCACATGACGCTCCGTCATAGCCAGCCGTATTTCGGTTATTATAAACCGCAACTTATTTTGCAAAAAATTAAAATATACGCGAATTAAGTAATTATGGAATAAATAAAATAAGCGTTAATTCATATTAACTTATCTACTAAACAATATATAACATTAAACAAGGTTCCTTCTTAATCTGATTGCTCTTTGCAAAGGCCTCCCCTAGAGTTTGCCAAAGTTGTTTGTCCATGGCCTTCCTACTCCATGTTGTGTCCGCTGCTACCACCTTTATTTTATCCTCTCCTCTTCTCTTTTCTCTTCCACGCCTTCTTTTCCCATCCCTGCGGTAACACACAGTTTCATCTTTGGACCATTTACTTTTCATGCTTCTTATTGTATGTCCTAACATATTTGTTTTCATTTGTAACTATTTCATTATTTTCACTGTATAGGTATATCACATCTACCACACCAATTCAAGCCCTTATGTCAGTCAATTTCATTGTCTCTCAATTTAACGCTTAGCAGGCTCTTGTCTATTCTGTTTTGACATTCCTTTGCTTTTCTGTTAATGACCATGTCTGGCATCCATACGACATGCAAGGTAACACACAAATGTCAAACAATTTCTTTTTTCTTTCATTGATAATTGAAGATTCTTCGTTTGAATGACCAATATCTACTTCATGAATTATTTATGCTCGCTTCTATTTCTTTTGCATTTGGTCTTCTGGTGAAATTTTCCGACCTAAATATGTGTATTGATTTACATATTCTATAATATTATTATTTATTTTAATGACACTGTGTTCCATCTGTCATCAATTTTGTCTTATTGGTGTTCATTTTATAATAATAATAATGATATTACTTGCCACCGCTCTTCCAGTCGTTAGATAGGAATATACTTATAAATAACATTTACATGGAAAGACAAAACATGGAAATAAATAAACAAAAGCATTATTAACTAAATAAGGAAAACGATATAAAGATAATTATTTAATCCTTATGCTATTAAGTGCGTGTGCATTTGTCAGTGTATGTATGTGTGATTACAAGTAACTGTATGTGTGTCTATGTGAGGAAATATGTGTTAATTCAAGGTTGTTAAGACATACTCCAATCTATAGCGTTATCGAATAGATTTTATTAGTCTTTCTGTCTCTGTATAATTGAATGTCCTTACACTAAGGTTATAAAGTTCATCACTCAAAAATGTGTAAGGTAAAAAATAAAAAATCCCCCCCCCCCCCCCCCCCTCAAACACATAAAGAATACAGTAGCAAATTATGGATTGGGCTAATGCGATATAAATTTTGCTCAGTAAGGCCTTAAAAGCTTTACCTATGTCTCAGTTTTTTAAAAACCCATATGAGTTCTCTTAACTGGCCCATAGTCATGTCTATATGTAAGTGACACGATAGGCGTTCATCTATTATAACTCCTAGATATTTGATAAACGCAACCTTTTCGATAACTTTGCAGGGACAGGTTAGTTACTTGCATTTCCGCACTCATGCAATCTTACTTGAAAGTCTTTAGGTTGCGTTCTCTCATCAATAGTGAAACACAAATACTTTGTTTTAACAATATTAAGAGTGAGAAGATTCGTATTGAGCCAGCGTGCTACTTTACACAATCTCTCCTGAGTGGTTTTTTTTTTTTGCTTCGTTCCGTGACTTCCCCCTAAATTTTATGGCTATGTCTTCCGCATATGAAAATATCTTTGCCTGATGAAATTTAAGATTACATGGCTCGTTTACATATGTCAAAAGTGGAATCGGACCAAGTACGCTTTCATGAGGTACACCATATGATATTACAGCTTGATCGCTTATGTGATCACCCAGCTTAACTCCCTGCTTTCTGTTTTCTAGGTAGCTAGTTAATAATGCAATTGGACTATCACGAATATCATATGCTTACAATCTTTGTAAAAGGATCGGAACAGAAACCAAATCAAAAGATTTTTTTATGTCAAGATACACTCCTAGGCTTTTTTGATGATTGTCAACATGTTGAACTATTAAAGAAGTCAGATCAGTAGCAGCGTCTTTGGTAGATCAACCGCGTCTAAAGCCATATTGTGAATCAGAAAGAATATGTGTCCCATCTAAGTAATTTTTAAGCCTAGTGTTAATAAGCTTTGAGATGGATGTCAGGACTGATATAGGGTGGTAGTTGTTGACGTAATCCGCACTTCCACTCTAATGCACTGGTGTTACTTTAACCTCCTTAAGGACCATTGGGAAAATACCAGTTTGGAAACATAAGTTAGCCAGACGGGTTTTGACAGGTACGATTTGTGTTTGTTTTTGAACTACTTTTTAATAGTTCAAATCCAAACAGTTTTGGAAAAGTTTTAGTAGACCCATTTCATGATCTGTTACCGTTGTCTTAATTACTGCGACAAAAGCTTGCTTGTTATTTATGTCGATGTTTAACATAAAGTGATCCACAGGCAGTTATTTCCTCTAGTTGGAAAAATATGTTCAGAGAGAAAACCATGCACCGAGAGCATGTTAAGATAATTTATTCCGTTGTTACACTCTTGAGTTGGTTCATTTTCTTTTTCTATCAAATTTATATTTATGTCCCCCGTCAATATAATATTTCGAAAACCATGCGGATTCTTCAAATATACATTTGGGGAATCTATAAAGCTTTCAGCATTGACATTCGATGGAGAACAATATATACCTATTATTACGAAATCTCGAAAGGAGATTTGAAGGCAAGATGCAAGTACAAATTCTATCTCTCCAAACTTAGCTTCGTGTGCTTTTCGAACAAATGCAACTACTCCGTCTTCTGATTTGTATGATCTGTTGTGGCAAATAATTTATTATTAATTATGTATGGAATGGTTTTGCTAGAACTTAGGCGCCACTCTGTTCAAGTGTAACCTGTAAATCATCTACGAATGTTATAATGCTACGAATGTTTCATAACTGTTACATCTTGATCGGTTATGTGTATATATTTTATTACTTCATCAATTTCACAGTATACAGCGTGTGCTGTTGCAATATTGTCTATTTCGCATTCCTCAGTAGAAAACCTGTTCATAGCATAAATGTTTATTTGAAGGAACATTTTATTATTAAGTCAGTCATTTGCAGACATACTTCTTCATTTACGTCGGTTAACTGTTATAACATGGATTGTAGATTTTCTAGTTTTTCTTTTAAAATGATCAGATCATGTGCAAATCACAAATGATGTAATTTTTCACTATTTATGTTTAAACCATAAGGATCGATTTTCTAAATATATATTCCAGTACAGTTGAGAACAGTTTGGGTAATAATGGGTCACCCTGTCTTACTCCTTTTTCTGTTTCAAATTCTTTTCCTATTTTTCCATCTGTATCTTGGCTGTGGGGTTTTTATATATTTCTCTATTTATCCTTAGATATTTCATTTGCACACCCTGGTGGTTTCTCAATCCTTTTCATACATACTTATGCTTTATAGAATCAAATGCCTTGTTATAATCGATGAAAGCAAAATATGTATTACTTGCTAATGTAGTGAAATTTCGGCACTATTAATCTTATTGTGTGTACATGGTCTATAGCTGAGTAGTCTCTTTTAAAGCAGGTATGTTCTTTTCGTTGGTTCTTTCCTAAATTGTTGCTTATTCTATAAAGTATAACCTTGTGAAAGATTTTTTATAAATTAGGCATTAACTGATTGGTCTACAGTTATTTATTTTGTCTTTGTCCATTTTATGGTAGAATTATTGTAGCTTTTGACTAAGGCCAACCGCAAGTTAATTTTGCGAAAATAAAATATACTCGAACTAAGTGACTATGGAATAAATATGGAATAAAAATATAAATACAAACCAGTGCCAGTGGCTGTGAGCTTAGATGATAGCCCTGCTTGATGTGCTTCTACTCCAGAGATCAGTTTCCCTGTTATAAGCAGGTCCAATGCTCGAGACAATCCCACAAGAGCAGTTAGACGTCGAGCACCGAATAAGGACTGTGGTACACCTGCATAACATAGTATTAAAACATTTCTTGAATAGTATTCATATGTTTGGATATAAAAAAAGAATTCTAAAATCCCTTTCGCACTCCTGCTTTGGTGCCTTCCATTCTGATAGATGTGACATGGGGTATTAATGTTTGTAAGTTAAGGTTCCATACAAACCAAATCTTCTGCCCAGGCATCCCATGACAGCGGTTTCTTCAACAACACGAAGATCACATGCCAAAGCCAATTCAAAGCCTTCTGCTACAGCATATCCTGAGACAGCAGCTATGGTTGTTTTATCACAAAGTGGCCGTTTCAGAAGTCTTACCTAAACAAACAGACATTTCAATAATTAAGTTCATAGAAATAGTTCTTTGATTTATAGCATTGAGATAATTGGGTAAAGGTTTGACCTGTATGTATGTTTGTACGCGATTATCTCGCGTTTGGCTGAACCGATTTTGATGCTGTTTTCAGAAAAGGTTTTGTTACACTTAGGAGAAGCTTTTGGTATCTTAATCAATTTCAAAAAAGTAGGTTGAACCAATTCGGATGCGGTTTTCAGCATAGTATTTGTCAGACAGTTTTAGGTATAATAACAGACTAAAAATGGAGGCTCGCATTTTAACACGGTATAGATGGAGTTTTTAGAAAAGTATTTTTAGTGTTACCTATTATATAAAATATCAATATCACTTAAAAGCATTAATGAAATATACAAATAATTCATCCTTACCGCAGCATCTTTCATATTGTTATAACCCTTTTCATCAACCTCATCTATATCGAATCCAGAACAAAATGAACCACCTTCTCCATTAAAAACAAGCACTTTAGCTGTTGTATCTTTATCAAATGCATCAATTGCAGCAGTCATTTCTCTCAATGTTGCTTCATCCAGACTATTGCGAGTGTGTTGGCGATCAATATTTATCGTAGTTACACCATTAAACTTTTCTACAACTATATCTGATGACAAATAAAATAAATACAAGTTAGTTTAATAAAGAGAATGTATGTTAGGCATAACACTGAATTTCTGTGCATATCCGACAGGCAATCAACATTGTTCACTCAAAATACCACATTGACTACCAATGCCTCATCTATCTGATTTTCATCATCATCATCAGCCCTTTTACGTCCTCACTGCAGGGGCTCAGACCTTCCTTATGGATGGTTCTCACCGACCCTTATTACATTACAAGCAAAGTATATCTTAATGTTATAAGTTGTGTTAATTTTTCTGAATAAGCTGATAGCAGATAGATCCAAGCTGAATGAGTTTATTTACACATTTTCATATAAGTAATTTCCAAATTAATTTCTATCGTCTCCATTCCATTCTTATTGATTTGGGCGTTTCATTTGCGTTTACCTTGATAACTGGATATTTATATCGAATCTATTTTTGTATTGATTTAGATTACAGAACATTATTGTGATTCAAAAGTATTTACTTGAAACAACATATTTTGACTTTGACTACTGTTAGTTTGTGATTGTGATAAATTCAAATACTTTAACACTTTAACTCTGAGATAAAAATTAAACCGCTACGAAAAAAACAACCTTACTTTTCTTGATATCGACAATATCTTCAACTTCTTCTTTCTTTTTATTTTCGTTTGCATTTTTAGAATAAAATCGTACTCTCCTAGGTGTTATATTCGGGATCAAAAGTATTCTTTTCAAGAGATTTCTCATGTTTATACGATTCTTAACGAAAAACCAAATAGATTTATTTTTCGACAATAGCGACAAATAATAACAAAACTAGGGATGTGAAAGTGTTATTGATCTAAAAAAAATTTTTTTTTTCAAAAATAAAATTAATGCTTAAGATTCCTTAGCCAGTGGGTAAAAATACTAAGGGTCCCTATTACTAATACTGCTATTCATCCATCTGCCACCAAATTGTATCTCATGAACCGTGATATCAGGACAGTTGAAATTGATGCCACTTTAAAAACAAATATAAAAACAGAATAGAACAAATATTAACTAAAGCTAAAAAATCACGTTTGTTGTATGGGAATACAGCAGAAGTGTTTTTATTGCGATTTTTTATTGAATGGTAAGGAACTTTTTGTGCTCGAATCTGACTCGCACTTACCAAGTTTTTAAAATTGAGCCTACAAAGTGTAGAGTACTAAAAAACCATTCGCTAATCTAATCTAATCATCATTAGCAAGATTGTCAGATCTAACAATCAGAGATTAAGTACAATAATTCAAATTATTAAAATGCAAAAAAAAATGTTTTATGAAAAATGATAATAAAAATTTACTATTTGAAAATGTCCGATCAGTTAAACATCGATATTCATATATAAGTTACATCCCTAACAAAAACTGTCGTATTGTCACTATGATTGCCATTGACGTAACAGAATAATTACTTTTTGTTTTTTTTTTATCGATTTAAGGTAAAGAGCTCATACAACTTATAGTGTTCGCTAAAACATATTTCTTTTATAATATCTATCTAAACTAATACAGTAAAGTTCCTAACTTTCTTTATTTGTAGAATGTAATTTTTGGATATAAGTGGGAAGTTATGGTAGCAGAGCGTGGTTATCGTTTACGGGAGTACTGTAAATAAAATTGCAGAAATGGCAACAGCTACAAACAATCGAATTTCTATAGAAGCATTAACGAAATCCAATTACGACACCTGGTGCCTTCAAGCACAAGCTGTTCTCATAAAAAATGAACTGTGGGATATAGTAAGCGGTGCGAAAATACTACAGCCGAATGCTGACGCTATAGCCAGGGCGGCATTCAACAAAGAAGACCTCAAAGCCAAAGCAGAGATCATTTTGTTGCTATCCCCGTCAGAATTAAAACAAATTAAAAGCTGCACAACGTCAAAGTCGGTATGGGATAAGCTAAAGGCAACTTATCAAAGCACCGGGCCAGCTAGAATGGCCACCCTACTAAAGCAGCTAGTACTTAAGAGAATGAGCACTAACGAAGACATCCGCGACCATTTAAATAACTTTATGGACATAGTAGATAAACTCGAGGACATGGACATCAAAATCCCAAAGGAACTGCTCAGTGTCATGATTTTATACAGCTTGCCGACTTCTTACGAGAATTTCCGCATCGCAATAGAATCAAGAGATACACTGCCTAATCCTGAAGATTTAAAAGTTAAAATCTTTGAAGAATCACAGGCGAGGAGCAATGCAGAGAAACCAGAGTCCGAAGAGAAAACTGAAGCTTTAATTTCCAAAAGGAAGAAGTTCTGTACATTCTGTAAGAAAAACTCGCATAGTACGGAATCATGTTGGTCCAACAAGAAACAAGGCAAAACTTTTATGAAAGTTTCAAAGGGCAAAGACAACAAACAACAGAAAAGTTTCAATACTTGTCTAAATTTAAATAATGTAAATATGTCAAAAATGTCATGGTGTTTAGACAGTGGATGCACGTCACATATGACGAATAATAAACAAATATTTTTAAATATTTCCGAAGACAATGGCTCGGTAAAATTAGCTTCAAATGACCACTCGACACCCGTCAGAGGAAAAGGCACGGTACAAGTAAGTCTGAACGAATACTCATGCAAATTACATGAAACTCTTTATGTGCCAAATCTCTCGACAAACTTACTTTCAATTGGGAAGATCACGGACAGAGACAATAAAGTTGTGTTCGAGAAAGATAAAGCTTATGTTGTTGAACCTAACGGTGACATATCACTAAAAGCAAAGAGAAAGGATGGCTTATACTACATATGTCGTGAATCCGAAGATATAGCAAAGTCAGTAGCTGTCGAATCAGAGATGATGACGTGGCATAAGAAGCTAGGCCACATTAATGAGAGAGACCTAAAACAAATGGCTAAAGACAAGAAGTTAAGAGGACTTATTTTTAAGGAAGATAAACTCGATACCTGCGAATCATGCATCAAAGGTAAAATGACACGATTACCATTTCCCAAAAATGATTCTATAAATAGCAATCAACCATTAGAAATCATTCATACTGATGTCTGTGGCCCATTCGAAATAGAAACTTTGGCCGGGTCAAAGTATTACGTCTCATTCATCGACGATTATACAAGATACAGCTACGTCTACTTTATGAAGAACAAAAATGAAGTGTTCCGACTATTCAAAGAATTTAAAGACGAAGTGGAGAATTTTCACAAACTTAAAATACAGAATCTACAATCTGACAACGGCACTGAATACAGAAACAAAGAGTTCGATCAGTATTTAAGGGAGAACGGGATAAAGCGACGACTTACCGCACCTTACACACCCCAACAAAACGGTGTTGCTGAACGCAAGAACAGGTCTTTATTAGACAAAGCTCGTTGTTTGATGATAGATTCAAACGCGCCCAAGATTCTTTGGGCCGAAGCTGTAAATACTGTAAATTACCTTGTAAATAGAAGTCCAACCAAACTACTAAAAGGTAGTATACCATATGAGATGTGGGTAGGCAGACCAGCATCGGGGAATCATCTCCATGTATTTGGAAGCAAAGCTTTTGTCCTCAAAAAGACACGCCGTGGAAAGCTAACTCCTAAATCTATCAAAGGTGTATTTATGGGCTATGCGTCAAATGCAAAAATTTATCGGATATTCATACCAGAGAAAAATGATATAATGATAAGCAGAGACGTGAAGGTAATAAATGAAATGTATTACGAAAGCAAAAATGATACTTATGAAAGTCTTATTGAAAATGAAAATAAAGAAAAAGATAGCAAAGCAGAAGTCACAAATATACAATTCGAAACAAGAATGAATGATGACTTAACTGTACAGCAACTTGATATTACAGATGTTGTAAATAACCCTAATCCAGATGTAAATACAGATGAAAATGAGATACATCCGGTTGTACGACCTCAAAGAGAACGAAGACCGCCAATACGGTTGAATGACTATGTACAAATTAATGATAATGATTGTGAAATTGATGAATATTATGACACAAACATAGCAGAACAATCACACAAATGTGAAGATGGTGATGACGAAGATTACCATGATGCTATAAAATCTGAAATCAGAGCGCATATCAAAAATGGTACATGGCGGATAGTTCTCTAAAGAGAAAGATACGAGACTAATCGGATACAAAATTATTTTAAAAAAGAAAATTGGCCCAAACAATGAAATTAAAAAGGCCAGACTAGTCGCACAAGGCTTTACCCAAAAACCTGGGATAGACTATAATGAAACTTTTGCACCTGTTGTAAAATTGAGTTCCATAAGAACAGTTGTAGGAATGGCATTAGAAGAAGACCTTACATTTATGTCAAATGGATGTAACTACAGCATATTTAAATGGTGACCTAGATGAAAGAATTACAATGAAAGTTCCAGAATGTCTAGAAGAATATGTATCAGAGGTGATGATAGATGAAATAGATAAAGAAGATCTGACTGTATATAATAAAGCTAGAAAAATGCTCGAAGATCTGAAAGGTATAAAAGGTGACAAAGCCTGTTTACTAGAAAGAGCGCTATATGGATTAAAGCAGTCAGGACGTCAGTGGTTTAAAAGACTAGACACTGAACTTAGAAAGATTGGCTTCGAAACTTCATCTGCTGATCCATGTCTGTACATATCAATTAAAGGAGGAGATAAAACAGTCATTACGATCTACGTAGATGACATTTTGATGGCTTACTCAAATCCTGAGACCGCTAAACATATAAAAAGGTTGTTGTCAAAACAGTTTGAGTTAAAAGATATGGGCAAACCCAAAAGACTCCTCGGAATTGATTTCATATACAATGACGAAGGTATCAAACTATGCCAAGAGGCATATATTGAGAAAACACTCAAAATATTTGGCATGGCTGAATGCAAAGCATCAAAGACGCCAATAGAACCTGGTATCTGTCTCATGAAGAATCCCAAGAAAGAGGGGGATAACCTACCGTATAAAAATCTAATCGGTAAACTTATGTATCTTGCAATTGCTACAAGACCAGATATAATGTTTGCGGTCAGTTATCTATCGCAATACAATGATTGTTACGGAGAGGAGCATTTTAAATGTGCCAAAAGAGTACTAAGGTACTTAAAAGGGACTAAGAGCATGGGACTGCTATACCAAAAGACGAATACAGATTTGTTCGGAATGGCCGACGCCGATTGGGCTGCTTGCAAAGAAGATAGGAAATCCTTTTCAGGATATATTTTTAAATACGCGGGAGCAGCAATCAGCTGGGCATCTCGAAAACAGCGTGCAGTAGCACTATCTACGGCTGAAGCCGAATATGTCTCATTAACGGAAGCTGCTAAAGAGGCAATTCACTTGTGTTTAATTCACAAAAGCTTGCATTTACGGCAAGAGAAGCCCATAACAATACATTGCGATAATCAAGCAGCCATAAAACTTGGAACAAATCCAATGGTAAGCTCGAAATCGAAGCACATTGATATGAAGGTTCATTTTATAAGAGACTGTGTTTCCGAGAAGAAGATTGAGCTTAAATTCATAAGGACTGAAGAAAACGAAGCTGACCCTTTAACCAAAGGTTTACCAGGGCCGAGAATTTTCCGTCTGAGAGCGATGATTGGGCTCAGTGAATAAAAGCCATAGGAGGAGAAACTATCCTCTATCCTGCTTTCTGAGGAGGAGTGTTGGTAGTCAACCAGCAAGGCACGATATTCGACCTCCGTAGAGCATCGCTAATACATACCATAGTGTAGCTATGAATTGAAAACGTCTGTCGATTTGTGGTGTCATTAAATTAAAATATGAATATTTATACTTATATAATAAAACGTTATTAGTTCATAGAAACCGACATAAAAGAAGAGGACCGGCCATACCTACGAAAAAAGCGTATATGCCTAAACTTCAAATGCAAATTCTTCGATGGCGGATTGTCATAGGGCGTGACCCAAGATATCGATATTTGTATCGACATTGAAGTCATATTAAATAAAAGTTAGTATTTCGTGAAACTGCTACAATACTACTACTTATTAAATAATATAATATAATTTTCATTGTTAGGGGCATGGCTAAACTATTACCTATTACACTTCTATTCATTTCACACTTACGTACCAATCCTATTTATGATTATTATTAATTAAATTGAAAAATTCACGCCAGTATCAAGAAAATAATATTTTTTTAAAAGTGGCGTGAATTTATCAATTATTTATAAATCATTAAGCAATCTTTTGCTCGTATTTTGTTGGACATCTAAAATTTCTTGCGTTCTTTGTTCTTGCGACTCCGTTGCGTCACTATAGTAAATATAACATATGTTACCAGCGTATGATGGCGCTTCCCACGGGTAAAAGATTATTCGTATTCCAAATTTCATCAAAATCCGTTCAGTAGTTTTTACATGAGAGTAACCAACATCCATCCTCACAAACTTTCACATTTATATTATTTAATAATATAATTTTATAATATGATTGTACCTCGATAAATATGTTTCTTTTTCCTCTAATATAGCCAATTTTACATAGTTTTAAGAACTATAGTACCAAAATATATATCTTAAAAGTTTTACAATAATATCAATCGTGTTTTATAATTATTTCCATATATATTGTCAAGTTGACATTTTGCAATTATAATTAAATAGTTTTTTTAACATAAGTTTAATTTTGCATCCACGGGAAGTGTGACTACTGTCCAAGATAACTACCACGGTAACTATAATAAGCTTTTAATGAGTCGATTGACGAATGAATTATTATGCTTTTTTTGTCTGTTATATATTTTTTATTGTTTTGGTGGAAAGTGACATTTTGGTCCAATGAAGTCATTTTTTATTTTTCAGTACGAAATTAAACAGGGTGCAAAAGCAGCCCTTGCAGTTTCTTACCGGTTCCTTTCTTACAGTTTCTTCTTTTCTCGGTACAAGGTTTCCCGTAATAGATTGCTGAACTATAAGCACAGAGTTTCGACTTTCTTATATGCTTGTAACTAGTAAGCCAACTTGTCTATAAATTTATTCAATAAATTGTTTTGACTGAATAAATTTCGCTTCCTCCTCATTAAGTGAGATACCGTGCGTACTGTGTCACAATTTTAGTTCAGAACATCTTGTTTAGTAGTAAACATAGAAAACTTGAAACACCTACATAATCTTTGTATTATATTATTGGTAAAAGAACATAAAAATACTGTAAACTTTGATGAATAAACAAGAGAAAATAAAGAAAACAAAGTTGGTGATGAATAAGTAACAATTGGCATAACAGTAACATTATTAAAGAAGTAACAATTGGCATTTTATTTAAAAATTTGGTTAGCAAGAAGAAAACAGCCGATTAATCAATAGGCAAGCATACAAATATTTTCTCAGCACTAAAACAGTCTGCAGATTCATGTTCTGTGAACAATCATGATAACGGTCAGCAATTTAAATTCAAAAAGGTAGCGTATTTTATGATGCATCAGCAAAATAAACATCCACGCCGCAAAATAATTATTTGGGTATTAAGATTATACTATTGAACAGCAAAGAAAACCTTTAACTATGCCTTTAATTTGATAAGTGTGCATATTTTAATTTTTATTAAAATTATTTAACTCATTTTATTGTATATTTTACTGGGAGTATATTATGATCAGAATTTTATATTTTAATATTATTATATATTGCATTCTGATTTTTTTCAATTAAAATAGTCGTCATATGACCGCAAGACTAAAAATAAGGTACATTTATAGAATAACAAAATGACTATATAAAAAACTAAATAAATAAATCAGTAAAATCAAATGAAAATTAACTAAGTGTAATAGACATTTTTTTTTTAAATAAGTTAAAAGCAATTGTCAAAAATTCTTACCAGAGTATTTGATTGGCAATGCATCATCTCGTAATTTTATTATATTTAAAGTTCGATTCAAACAACTTTCCCTAAAATGAAGTGAGCAGATAAAAGTAACTTTTTCATTACATTTAATATTTTCTGCTTCTATGTAACTCGGCCATTTTCCTCTTTTGTTTCATCTTTTGGTAATCTAAAATAATTAATATATTTTTAAATATTAAAATTATCGATATAAACCATATGTTAAAGTAACGACACTAGCCATGTAAACAATATTATTTACGGACCGAAATATTATAAAAATATAAACGAAAAGAGCAATATAGCATAAATAGAACACGCCAAAATACGATATGTATCGATTTATACACGCAATCATTTTCAGAATAACTTACTTACGTTTTAAATACTGTTATTCCAAGAAAGTGTTTAACTTACCGGTGAAACGTAATATTGCTCGGTTTGCGGGATATTGATGACGCACAACCAATTATACAGCACCTAGGCATTGTTTTGCATAAATAATTTAGAATTTTCTGCCATGAAAGTTATATAAATTAAAGTTATAAATGAAAATAACCACAAAACTTATAACATTGACAGCTAAACTACTTCCGAGAATACGCACAGCAAATTTGCAAATGGCTGACAGGTGGTACGATAGCTATATCTCATGACGTCACGTAAAAAAATTTGAACTGTCACACTAGTGTTATCTTTGTTTACTAAAGAAACTTCTTATTAGTTAAAAAAAGACAACATGATGTTTTTGATGTCAACTTCAGTCATAGTAAAGTTCACAACATGAAAAATTATCAAAGAACATGAAGAATTACCACGTAACTGGTCTGTGATTCTTAATTTTAAAACGTCAACGTCAATTTCTCACGAAATTGTTGCCCGTCGTTCTTCAATTTTCTGAACAAATTCTGGCTAGACACGTGTACTTCCTATTGTTTGTGTAGAATTTCATCATTTTAAATTATTTTAAATTGCACCATCATCTCAGTAATTATAAAGTTTAAAAAGCTGATATAATCGTACATTGGGTGCTAAGCCAACTTGTTTTCGAGTGTTTACATACCGTGTGATCAGTGGAATAGTTTTATAATGTCTGAATTTAGAGATTGGTATTATAGTGTTCCGTTCTTTACTCGTTATTGGTTAACATTAACTATAGTTTTCAGTTTAATCGGCCGCTTTGGTTTGGTCAACTACTATTATTTCATTTTGGATTATTATCCCTTCATACATCAATTCCAAGTAATTATCTCATTTAAAACTATTTTTATATAATTTTTATACATTGTCTTTTATTTAAAATTTAAGCAACTAAGGAAATTAGGCTGGGTGGGAGATTTTTCAAGTACATTATTATTTGTGTTGATGAATATATTGAACAACTAAAATATATTATGTATATCATAGTAATGCTTGCTTACTATATATACATACACAGTGCTGTTAATAAACAAGGTTTCGTGTCAGATTAAATTTATGTTAAAATTGCAATTTTAGTATTAGCCCAAATTCATATTATACAGAGAATAAGCAAACCTACTTTCTTCTAGGAAAAAAAATAACTCCTGTAGAACCTTATATTAGATTAACCTTTGCTAAGTTTCTGTTTAACAATATGAATTTTGACTTATACTAAGTGCAGACTCAGCGTAAATTTACTCTAACGCTAAATCTTATTTATTTATAACACTGACAATGTTTTAGATTAAAAAAAAAGGTTGGATGTCTTTGATTTGTGTAAATTCACACATTAACCATTTACCATAATAATCTGATCACTGAAAATGATTTTATGTTTTGTAGATATGGAGACCATTGACGGCACTATTTTTCTACCCCATCAGCCCAGGCACAGGCTTTCATTTCCTAATCAACTGCTACTTCCTGTACAACTACTCGCAACGCTTAGAAACAGGAATGTTTGCTGGAAAACCAGCAGATTACTTCTACATGTTACTGTTTAATTGGATCTGTTGTGTTATCATCGGTTTACTGGTTAATTTGTCGGTATGTATAAAACTTTATTGCTATTACTATGCAATGCTCTCATAGATCTAGTACACATTAGTTGTTTTAATGGGCGCACTTTGATAATGTGCATTTAAACAGCCTTCTTGTCTTATATTCCCACACACATTGAAGCATACTCTTCTAGTCATGCACAAAAGATTTTCTAAATGCGCATTATGAAAGTACACTCTTTAACTTGGCAAATGTGTATTAGCTCTGATCAGTAAAATGCATTCTATTATTAAATTGACATAAGTTGTCAGTCAGTGTTTCCCAACATATAATCTATAAACACTCTGGGGTTGATGCACTAATAATTGCAATTAAAACCATACAAATGGCAGACTTTGATTGGCTAAATTTGTTTGAATTCATTGTTCAACCTAAAAAATGTCAGCTGAATTGATAACAAATTGTATTTATTCTTATCCAACACTGATTGAATTAAAATTATAATTGTAATAGTATCAAATGAGCAGTAACATGACAAAGTGCAATTGAAAACTAGAGCAATGGTGCTAAATATTGGCCTTTTTGTTTGTTAACAGATTCTCATGGACCCAATGGTGCTCTCAGTATTATATGTATGGTGTCAGCTTAACAAGGATGTGATTGTGTCCTTTTGGTTTGGAACACGGTTCAAAGCCATGTATCTGCCTTGGGTATTGTTAGCTTTCAACATGGTCCTTAGTGGAGGGTAAGTGTTCTGATATAACATGTTTCTAAATTTATTATCGTATTATCTTACATGTGTGTAATAGGATATAGGTGCCATTTGAGATTATGCATAATGTTTTCTTATTTATTGCAACTTTGTGTGAATGGAATAAACTTGATGTAGGCCACCACTTTCTTCAGGAGTTTAATTTCTTCAAACATGAAGTATTCTGTCAGTGAAATCTGATTGCAAGTTTTATTCTTTAGACAGGCATAGCGTAATTTATTAATATAAGTATATAGGTATTCAAAAGCATCTATTATAATTTTACAGTGGTGTGATGGAGCTCCTAGGTATCCTGATCGGACACCTTTCATTCTTCCTGCAGTTCAAGTATCCTCAAGAATTCGGTGGTCCCGCTCTATTAACTCCACCTGCATTCTTGTGAGTATTGAATATAAATATAGGGATCCTGCCTTTTCGTTGAAAATTATTTGGCTGCTTATCTTTCGCCTATGTTTCACTTTGACAAGTAACAATTAGCAAATTTTTACTTGACAACATTTTATTTGCCAGAAATATTTTTAAGAAAGCAAAGGTCGGTAGTGATGGCCCGTACTTCAAAATTGTGATCATTAATAAGTGGACTTGTTTGTATGTAATAAAATGGACCTCAAAAAGGTTGGAATCACAACCACCCGAAAACAAGCCAATTGCGATGTATGAATAAGTGCTCAGAATAATGCATTCCCAAAAGAGGATGTTCACCATATATAATAATAATAATAATATTTTTTATTGGAACTTTACACTTTACAGATATTATCGTGTACGAAAGCAGCCGCTTTAGTTTAAAAACTGAGTTGCAGCCACAAACGCCCACCTTCATTGTATAAAGAACAACGTTCCACTCGACGTATTTATATAATTCAAGTTTAGAATTAATGACGCCATTATAAAGATTTTTAGTGTAGAACCACATGGGTTATAATTAAAACCATAGTAGTCTAGGAAACGTGACGTCACAACTCAATTTGCCTTGGTCATGCCCGACGTTCTCATATTAGAGGATCCGCTCTTGCCTGCCATGGACGAGTAGCTCATATACCAGATTCGAGCTGCTTCCATCGAACATGAACTTTACTATATTGTTTGGATGCCATGGTCGCTTTGTCGTTCAAGAATTCTTAAACATTTTATCTACTCGGCTTAGAATCTGAGAATGCATAACTGGTGTTGCCAAATGTTATTCAAATGAGAGCTATCGAGTTTGAATTTGCCACTAGAGGTGCTAGTGTAGAGCGAGGTCTTTAAAATTTCAAATATCATACATAATTTGTCCATCAACATGCTTTGTATCAAATAAACGAATTTTATGTTTATTTTGGGGTATCAGATGTCAGTGCTTAAAAAACGGAGCTTAGAAAAAGAGATGCAAAATTAAGCGGGTTAATTTAAGTTGATGCTCGTAGTAAAAATGTTTGACGGGACCTCTCGCGACTGTCGTGCCTTCTAGTAAGCAAAAACAACGGTAGCCCTCATCGATCATCGTAGCTATATTTTAAGATTGTTTTTATTTATTTTTTAATAAATAGGAAGCAGTTATTCCCCGACACGAGGTACGTAGGTGGGTTCGGTACAGCGCCACAGGCGAGAGTGCCGACGCGCGGCGGCGGTAACGTGTTTGGGGGCCACAACTGGGGGCGCGGGCACACGCTTGGGGGCAACTGAACTACAGATAGAGAACCACTGGAATTGATTCCTTAGTCACACACATTTTATCGTCTGATTGAATGAACAGTAAGAACAGCGCTTGTGGTATAGCTAGGAGTCTGACGTGTGGCTAATATTATTATTTTAAGAAGTTGTTTATTATATTTTAGCTATTCCACAAGTTGTGCTACTGTTCTGTATCTACTATGTGTATATAAAAAGTAAAGATATTTTAGTTTACCACCATATTGTTTTTTAATAATAAAATATGACACCAGAGAATGTGTTAGTGAATAAGGCTTGACTACTATGTAAATCGAAAAATAGATATTTAAAGTTCAATTGAGAACTATATTCATTTAGCTGATTTGATTAGCAGGGAAAGTGGAAAGCGCTCCGACCAGCTTCAATGTTTTATACGATTTCAATGTTATTCTATATTATATCTAGTTTCGGCTTATTTCGTACCGGAGTTGTGTTATCCGGCCTTTTTCCCGTCGAGCTAAAATCGGTTACTCGTATATGAAATGAGTAATAAAATTTTATAATTTTTTACTAATATATTAACTTGAACATTAACAAATTATTTAAATATATATTAACTAAAAAAAAATCGTAAAATCTAAATAAAAATACTTTTAAGTATATGGTATGTTTTGAAAAATTATTACATTATTTTTATAATTCGCGCCTTTAACAAGTAACGTGTTTAATAGACTGAGATATTGGTCGTACAAAACAAAATCTTTTTTAGATGCCTGAACTTCTATTTTCGAATTATGAACGAATTAGTTATATATGTTATGGACCAAGTAATAAATTGACCGTTATACATAACGCCCGGTCATTATGAAAAATGCAATCATACAAAGGCGGACTTAATGCCTTAGGCATTATTTGGATTAATTAGCAAGGACTTCATACACTAAGTATCCACTAGTTTATGCATTTAAAACCTATGAAAAGTAATATTAAAAATATAGGTAACACGAAACATAAAATTAATAACAAAGATTTCAAATCTATTCCATCATGTGACCTACAGGGCCAAAATAACTTAATTTATTTGCTCATTATTTTTGTTATCTGTTAATAAAAAACCCATTTTAAATTGGGTTTATAAAAATTCTAACCTATCACGTGACCTACAGGGCCAAAATAAATTCGTATTTCATCATTGTTTTATGTTATCTGTTAAAAAAAACTAACAATCAGATTATTATTTGTCATAGATGGCATCTTATAGTTAACCGTGTCACGCCATGCAATGTGATAAATAATGAAGTTTAGATAGAAAATAATCACTTAGCCCGATAGAGCTACACATTTTTCATAATGCTCGTACATTATTAATAATGCCCACATTAATCACCTGGTCCATAACAAGTACATACAAATTATTTTTTAAATATTTGAATAAAAATGGTATTTTACAAAAATTATCAACATTCTCCACTTTATTTCAAACCTTAATACATTGATGGTAGGGTTCAAAATCTTCAAAAATTATATTTTTTGATTTACAAAGTGACCTTATCAAGTTAGAATATTGTTGTTCTAATGTAATATAAAGGCGTGTGTATATAAAATGGATTGTTATATTGCAGTATAATAAAAGCAAGTCACTTGGAGACATTAGTTACAGTTTCTCCGAGGTTTAATGCAGATTGCAAAAAAACGTCTTAGTGGTCGGTAGATGTAAAGTTAGGGATAGGCTGATATAATCTGTATAAGATTTGTGTGAACGGATAATGTTACGTTAATATTAAAAAACAAATATTGCTGTATTAGTAAATTTAATTTACTACGTTTGGGGAAGGAAACTCAAAATTACGCTGCCGTAGCTTCATTCCAAAAGATATCGGTCGGTAAAACAGTTACATCAACGCCATCTCGTAGATTTAAGAAGTACTTGATAGAGTAGTAAGATAACGGTGTCCTTGACTTGATGCCAATGGCTGTAATAGCACGTGTTGTAATCGATTGGCTGTTTTTTCTTTTTGTGCTTATTTAACTGGGCTACACGAAGGCAGGAGCTACACGACAGCGCCATCTGCGATTAGCTTTGATAGACATCTCGATTGATATAAGAAGAAATATGGTAAAAGTTTAGCGTCACCAATTCTAAGGTAATGGTTTTGATTCCTAGCTAGGAGTACCGGGTTTGGGGATAGGTTTATCTTAAAGAATATGTATTGTGAGTGGAAAATTGATCCAATGTTAATAATATTATGGTTATGTACGCTTTAACAATTTGTCTCTGATCAGTGTTTATGGTCCCATTTTCACGTGAGAAATATGTTAGCTTAGAATCGGAGGTATATACTTTAATGTTGAATGTGTATAATATTGTCTAATAGATTAGACAAAAAATACGTATCGAAGTAGCTTTTTGATTGTGGTATTGATAACTTAGATTGTATCTTTGATTGGGCATTTGTATGTTGTGAATGAAACTTTTTCAGACACTCTCGACAATGTTTTCTTTGAAAATTATCCGGGAAAATGAGAAACTATTTCGGCACATATCGTTCAAGTCATTTATATAGTGTGCAAATCAAATATTTCCGACGTTTCATGACCGATCATACGCGACGCATATTCCGTCAGATATGAGTCGACCCTAAGGCAAGATAAAGTGTAAAAGGATTTATATGTTTATTAAGAATTGAATGTCAACTTCACATCAGAGTAATGATATAATTATTAAGGTTCTTAATGTGTATATGTTTTGGTAGATAGATCAAAACTATTTGTGAATTTATTTTCATACTATTTTTTGTGTCTATCAGTCAGTACTTTAAACATACCCAATATTACCCAATAAAAAGAACTTTGATCCTAATTTCAGTGATTGCATTTATTAATATTTTTAATTTATATGTATTAGTTGTCAGACTGTTAATTTTCAACTTCACTGCCAACGAATTAAGGTATAAAATAGAAAGATCTATTGTAAGGTGTTTCCACACAAAAGTTACATATTATTATAAAAATTGTGTATCGTATCAGTGTAACGTAATTATCCTTTATTAAATAAGCTTATTGCCACAATCGCCCAAACATTTTTGACCTACTGCTCGTTCAGGGGTGCGACCGTGCAATTTCTAGCCACGACATCTTAGCGAAGATAGGGCAATATTTCGTTTCATTTCACTACTTTGAGATGTGCTTCAAAAATGACAACGAGAGATAAAAATGATGATTATGGATTTGACATCAGTGTTATAAACTTACAATTGAGTATTTAAAATTAAGCACGTTTCAAACTGTACTTAACAGATTCTCGTTTCTAGATTCAGTTTTTTTCAATAGATAGAAGTTTGATAATATGACTTTTTGTCTTGTGCAAAGTAAAAAACTCAAGTTACTAAGAATATTTTGTTGATATTTTGTACTTTTCTCAATTCAGAAACCGGCCGTTAGTCGTTTATTTATCAAGAGATATGTGAAAGTAGTAGGCACAATGAAACAAATATCGCCAAGATCACTAGGGCTTGGTTGCACCAACGTACTTTAACAATTACAAGCATGTTATAGTACCGGCTAAGCAAATATTGAGTTGGACCATTTGGCATGACGTCATAACTGTCAACTATCACCGGCCAAGCATAGCTGGTTATTGTTTTACTATGTCAAGAGAGAAGATGGTGCAACACATTCCGCAATCAAAGTCAGCGTGCCAGTTACTGTCACATCTGACATAAAACTTAAATTATCGTGGTGCAATTCAACCTAAGTATCCTATGGTTCTAGAATTACCTCTGGCTAGAAAGTTAGGTGGTCGCACCTTTGAACGGTTTTTGGCTGACAAGAAGAACGAAGGAAAGAAACTTATCAGCGTTTGTGGAGTAACGATAGGCTGTGCAGAGTCGATTTCAATAATTTGTCTATACATATACTATATAATACCATTCATTAGTGATGCTTGACTCGACTCAAGCCCGGGTGAATTTCGAGACGCGATGTGAGTGACGCGTTTCACCGGCGCTCCTCAAGTCGGCACCAGGTTTAACATTTGTCCCATGAAGTTATTTAACATAACTAGCACTGAATAACTCAAAAGTATGCTGTTTTCTAACTTTGTACAACTGTTTTGTGGGAGCACATGTAGTTTTTGTGAACGTCAGAATAGCCGGTCAACGGTCGTAATTAACTTTGAAATTATGTCTATAATTTACTTATGTATTGCTTATATTTGCTTATCACGATAAGAGAATTGCTTATTGCATGTTTCAAAAGAATTTAAGCATTTAAGGTTGACCGTCCATTCTGACGTCAGAATGGCTGTTCAATCTCTGTAGAGCAGTAATTATGTAGAATTACAGAAATTTTCGTGGACCAAAAATTGCTTATCAATTGCTTATTTCAGAATTCATAAGTTTAGAACCCATTATGCTTTCCATTAGTCAAGTACGAACTTACAATTGCAAGTGCCTGTTAATATTTTAAGAGCAAAGTAACGTATGTTGGAAATTGCGTTTACATTACAAAAGGTATTTAATTCGTACTATTAAAAAAAGCTTATTATAAGGTGTCCGATTATATAACAGATAAGAATGCTTGGACCTAAGATGGTCCAGCAAATGGATAGGTGATTTCTCCTAAACTCACTATATCTCAAAAGTTATCTTGTTTCCATTATTATAATATTATTATGTTATCATTATCAAGACCATACTTTTTTGTTTCTAATGTATTGATCTAGTAATGACATGGTTTTTGTAAATGTAATTACTTCTATCAGAGCTGGTGAGTTTCTTGCTCGTTCTACTTATTAGCCAAAAGACGTCCTGAACGAGTGGTAGTGAAAAAAAATGTTGGATGATTCAAAAACGATTCAAACTTTTAAGAAGTCTAATTGAATTAAGATTATTTTGGGTTTGACTTTGACCATAATTAAGAACAAGCTTAAAATCCCCCGTGCCTGTTAAAAGTATGCGAATAACAAATAAACGAGGTTGCGAAAACAACAAGAATGCACAAAAATTGTTTCAAGTTAATAAGACCCTAAAGACTCTGATTAGAAAACTTAGTTTAAGTATGTGAATTAAACACAAATAAATTGAAATATTTATAATCATTATTCTTATTTATTTATGTACATTGACTTGGGCCAATAAAATACATGACCATTATTTCCTAACATAAATAATACAATGTGGAATCACTTTTTTGTTGCTGCTTCGTATGATTCTTGTACTTACATCGTCGTAGCATTGCCATACATTTCCACGCTTACAGTGTGCTTTATAGTGGCCCATTTCACCAACAGCAGGTGGAACAAATTCCATAACTGAAAGCAGCTCATATTCAATATCCTTAAAAACTAATCTTACAGGTGCTTCATACACAGAAATCAATTCATCTGATATTTCGAAACATATTAAATTACGTAGGACCAGTTCAAATGTTTTAATACCATTGCAAGAAGATCTACGACATGGTGTCATGTCGGGATAATTTAGTAATGTATCTGTAGCTCCCTGAATTTCAGTTGCACCTTTATCATGTAGACGTAAAACTGAAATTTTTCTTGTTACATTATTTACAGGACAGTCTACATTGGTACAAGACTCTTTTTCGTCCGCACTGTAAAGACAGCAGTCTATCAGAATCGGTCAAAAATATACAACACATTGCATTCGCAATCAATTTCAATAGTAGCTCCTTTTTGAACTTTTTGAAAGTACATTTTAGCTAAGGTTGTTCTAATTTTATAAACGTCTTTATTGTTCTTTGTACACATACATTTTATAAGCTGGCAAAGCATGTGGTTACTTTCTTGTATTATTTGATTTATTGTACTTCCTTCAATATATGATACAGCTAATGCTTGACAAACGGAGTCCAGTGCACATGTATTTGTAGTAACTACAATTTCATTATCAACTGTAAATCTGCCGCCGTTCGAGAGCAATATAATTCTTTTTTGTTTAGGCTGATTTTCTTTATTTACATTTTTTACCATACCTAATCCTTTCCAATTCTCTATCAGACTTGGATGTTCTGAGAAAACTGAGTCATCTCTAAATTTTAATATCATTTTATCAATATTTTTACTTTTTGCTTCCCCTTTTTTCTTTTGACTTCTTGGTGTTTTCTTTTGAGCTGTTATATTGCTATTGGCGATTTTCAACTCTCCGGTTAGATATTTATGATGCTCCGTTATGAATTCATCAACTCGTAATCTATGAGACTTACTATCGATCTTAAAAACAAGCCTTTTCAAGTTCTTGAAGTATGATTCTACGTTAGAAGATGTAGGTTTGTCTATCTTTGATCCATAAAGACTTTTCATTACATTGGACCACAATGGAAACTGACCCATTAAACGTGATAAAACAACAATAAAACCTGGAAAGTAGTACAGATTTTCGTGGTTGCCTACATCATTATCATCACTTAAAGTAATAATTAACTTTTCAGCATCAATTTTATCGTAAAACCATTTAGGAGATTTTTGTTCAGATAATGCTGTATTTTCACGGTTTGTAACGTTAATAGTGTCTTTAAATAATGATTCTTTTGGATTAGCAATAGTTGCATTCAATTGGTCACCATCTTCGATTTTGATTTCAGTATCCTTTTCACGAAATGATGGAAGCTTTTTTAGTTTGATTTTGGAATTTTCGCATCTGGAAGGAATTCCATGGCTGTTCATACCATCTCGTTGATTTAAGCATATAATAATCAAATCTGATATAATATCTTTGGCTTTAACATAATCATCGCAATTTTTTAACTCAATTAGACATTTTATATAAAAAAAATTCACTCTGTTATCGGAATGTGTAAAACACGATAGATTGAATAGAATTTTAATAAAATGACTTGTGTCAATACGTATGTAGCATTTATCATTACAACTTTCTCCATGTTCTAATCTTGTGTATGAAGCTTGGACATAGTCAGCAGTACTATCATATTTAGTAAATGCCTTTACTGTGGCACCAATCAAAGCGGAAGAGTCGTCCAAGTTGACCTCATCAGGGACAGGATTGTTTTTACTCCAAGCATGTAGCCACATAAATATTATATCCATTGTGTGACTTTCAGATATCATTTGTGATACTGGGACGGAACTTTGGTTTTCTTGAGTTTTCATGATCAGGACATACAAAAATATTTGTTTAGTTACTAACATCCTATTATTCGGACCAAATTTTTTAAAAATGCTGCCTGTAGCATCCACACTAAGAACTAAATTATCAAGTTTCTTGATTTTTTTACAGCAGGCTTCTTGTAAGTGGGTCCAATAAATAACAAAAAAAGGGTACAAAGATATTTGCTTTATGGTTTCTTTATATGGTGAAACACGAGTCATTATCCACAAAGATAGTATTTGATTTCTATCATAATATGAACTTTGTTTTTTTTCAAATTTAATTTGCCTCAAACATCCAACATTTGGCATATGTGGTGGTTCATTGTCATCAGCATCCATAAGTTGATTAGCTAATTGGTTTCGATATGTGATTGCTGATTTATTTTTTAGTTCATCTGACATTTCAACCCGTTTTGCTGGAGATAATTTAATCTTTTTGTCATCAACATGAATAAACAATGTATTGAGATTCATCACATTACACGCACAGTGAGCTATTTTATCGACAGGCCAGGAAATTACAACAGTTATCAATGCATTGCATTGTTTACATAAACCTTTGCAAGTGATTCGATCCTCATTTTTAATTGAATATTGTTTGAAAATCCAAGAACATGGAATTTTCATTGCTCTCCATATTTGATCACGTAATATGTGACCCCACATATGTTTTGGCAAACGGTATTTTCGTGTGATCAGGGGCTTTGAATCTTGAATAACTCTAAATTGCTTACTTATTGGCTGTATTTTTTCCCATTGATATAAATCAATCATAAAATCAAAATTTATTGACTTATCTGTTTTTTCTTTATTCTTTGTAGTATTAACGCTGTATCTGGAACAGTCCTCTTCACTTTTTTCAGGCACATCAAAGAAAAATTAAAATTCTTCTTAACAGAAAGATATAACCCCTGTTCTGTAATTGGCCTAGGTAATGCACTTTTTATTTCTGTAAACACTGGGTCACTTGCTGCAGGAAGGTTATTGACACTTTGAAATAACTTTTTATATGGTAAAAACGCTTTTTTTTGTTCTTCTAAGGAATTCACAAACTTCCTTCCTTTTTTCATTATAAAAAATAATGTTAATGCAATTAAAAAGCTTTGAATTAACGCAACGACAATAATGATAAGGCAAGTAAAAATGTACGTCGAGTAATTTATAAAAATTATTGAGGGTAGATTCATTTCGCCTCACTTAATATTAGCAGGCATTTTAAGTCCTTTCGTAATGTAAACGCAATTTTCAACATACGTTACTTTGCTCTTAAAATATTAACAGGCACTTGCGATTGTAAGTTCGTACTTAACTAATGGAAAGCATAATGGGTTCTAAACTTATAAAATGTGAAATAAGCAATTGATAAGCAATTTTTGGTCCACGAAAATTTCAGTAATTCTACATAATTACTGCTCTACAGAGATTGAACAGCCATTCTGACGTCAGAATGGACGGTCAACCTTAAATGCTTAAATTCTTTTGAATCATGCAATAAGCAATTCTCTTATCGTGATAAGCAAACATAAGCAATACATAAGTAAATTATAGACATAATTTCAAAGTTAATTACGACTGTTGACCGGCTATTCTGACGTTCCATGTCGTGCTGGTCTTATTTTATTAAATGTAAAACGTTCTAAACATTGTTAAAATACACAGGTATGATTAAGATATTTTTTAAATACAATCTTTTTTAAACATATTCAGAGTTGCCTGATTCTGCACTAGTTGACCTGGTAATATGTATACCACTATACAGATACCACCATGAAAGTCCAGCAGCAATAAACAGATCAGAGAGAATAAGAAGCAGATCAGCAAAAACAATTGAAAAAAAAAACGGTGGATCTATTAAAATATTCAGTTATTATTTTTATGAGCTATTCATTAGTCTTCTGAATCTAAATATATGTAAATAAATACAGGAAACTTAGACTATATTTCTATAAATTGTTTTAACAATAAAATGATGATAACATTATATTTTTTTATTAATATCATGGTCCTTTTGAATTTGTAGAACTGACGGTATACTCTGTTCTTATAACTTGGTTAAAATCTTGAAGGAATGTGCATCAGAGACAGTGGCAGGTCTGTTGCACAAATTCAATAATAATTATGGCATTCTTAATTTTGTAAATAAATATCAGGTGGGACTTTTAAGCATACAAGCGTATAATATTTAGAGATCACATGACTATTGAATAATGTGGAGACTTGAAGCAATCCCAAATTATTATTTTGTAAAGTATAGGAAAGTGGTAAGATCATAGATAAATAAATCTATGGGTAAGAAGATAGAATTGGCACCACTGTAGTAGGCCCTATAATAACATTTGAATATCCACATCAACGACAACAATTCGTCGATCTTCGTGGTTAAAATCATGAATTTTGTGTGACGTAATTTATGGATGGCCCCTTCAATTTAATCACTTGACATTAGCAGAATTGTGTAGAAAATCTTTATAAAAAAAGACGAAGCTTACTTACGAAAAAGAATAAAATGATCTATAAAAGTTTTGATTTAATTTTATTCACTAAACAAATCTATCTTATAACAGTATTCAATGGTGCTGATCTTTTGGGTCTGGTTTACCATATTCCTTTTCCCACATAGCCATGAACTCTTTCTTGCGTTGTTCCCGTTTCTTGAAATATTCTGGATACTGAGCCTTCTCTAGAGGATGCCAATAATCCAACACCCAGTCAGGTGATTGGACAACACGTTCATAAGCAACACCACCAGGGCTTGTGGCAACTATAAAAAAAATATCATGTACAGATGGCTGCACATCATGTTATCTTTAAAAGGCTAAAAATTTTCAATGAAGTTTGAATGCTATTACTAAATGAAAGCTTAAAAATAATGAACAAATGGACAAATTTAACATTTTGTTAGTAACCTGGTATGCTGTACATTAAAATAAAACACATGTTGGTCAGTTCACAAACATCCGTTAAGATTTAATTATGATTTTAAGCTTTAATGTTCTAAATTTGAAAATTTGTATTGGTAATGTCACTAGTGTTGTACAAATGACAATTGTATTGTGCAATTGCATGTTAACCTTAAATATTTGCGGTACAAGGGTGTAGAACTACAAAATTTAGGTTGTTGATGGTAACTCCAAGCATAAAGTTACCATTAAAACATTGTACTCAACAGTGACACAGTTTCAAAATAATTCCCAATCATTCAACGGGTTAAAATTTGAAACTTATTAAAGAACCTAGAAAATTTGTTTTAACTACTTTTGAAGATAATTAAATCCTTAATCTAGGTTTGTGTTAATTTTATGTGATACTAAATAATTGGATGACAACTAAATTAAGTCATGGACCATTTAAACATCAATAGCCAGGTCAGTTTTGCCTTGGGTGAATAGATACAATCCTTAAGCCAATTGAATAAATGGTGTCAAATTTTACTGGACTGACTTGGCTACTGGTTTTAAAAGGTAATGGTTAATGGTGGTTTGCAAGTGGTCCCTCAAGTTTACGTGACAAAATTGCAACCAATGTTTTGAATTAACTTAATTTTTATTTCTTATGATGGTCAGATACAATACTATTTTTATATTAATGACAAAAAAATAGCACATAATAAACTTTTTAATGTGTGCAGAAAGGCAGTAGCCCAAAAAACATTCAAATGCCTTGTTTTGTTTTTTTTTTTTAAATGTGTCTTATTAGCTTGTGGTAATATCTGGAATAATCCTTTTAACAGTAAAATACTCACACTTCTTGGGTAGAGGGTGTATTTGCGAGAACAACTCTTCTTCACCCTGCCTTAGTAGTTCTACTGCTTTTCGCATGTCTGTCTCTTTAGCATTCTTGTCAAAGCGTGCTCGCATAAGCACTGCTTGGTAACGGTAGACATTTCTGAATATAGAAATAGTAAAGGAGTTATATATTTAAATGTTTTTAATTAAGATAAATAAAACAAAACTGTCAAAACAACGCTAGGAAAAACAAATTAATTATTTTGTTTACAAAAATAATAAATAAAGAAACCTTTTTTTAATCCCTAAGACACAACTTAATTATCATTGGAAAAAATATCTTGTACATATCTGAAAATTAAAGGAAATTCGTAGGTTAGTGCAGTTGAAAGCTAAATTTTTATTACGTAACTCGAGACGAAAAGGGTATTAACACTTCCCAAGTATTTTAATATAAAAACAACATTTACCTTCTATCATAGAATGCCTCTAAATTCCGCAAAACTCTTTTATAAAGGCTGCAAACCTTTTGTGAATGAGTTTTCAGACCCAAGAAGGGAACGTTCGCCATTTTTATTATGACAGTTGACAGCAATCTAATCTGTCATGTCGAATAGTGCTTTTTTAATAGTATGTTTTACGGCTCTGGATACGTGATTAAATCCTTAGTGTTAATTACCATAACTGAGTTTGTATAAACGCAGCAACTTCAGTCAACAGTGACTTATAGCGATCTGTCAGTATTAATTTCTGTTGTATCGGCGGTTATGCGAGACGAGACCTATTAATGTGAACAGGGTATATTTCACAAAAAACTTTGATAGCGCAATAATACGAATTTCCGAAAATGTTCTCTTCTTGTAATAAAAAGACACTGAAAATGTTTTCTTAGTAGCCGAGTTAGCTACTACTACCTACTACGCGTATGAATATGCAATTTTATAAATATCGAATTCTTACATTACCCTGCATATATATATTAGAATATACGAAAATACCCGGAATTGTATAAAAACGTGAAGAAACAACTACCTACTTATAATTTACGCAATCGGAATAAACTAACCATAGCAACCTCCCGCTTAAAATTACAATAATCTACCAAACTCAATAAAAAACTTAAATAAAGAAAAAGATTACAGAAAACAAATAAAGAATTTATTAATTAAAAAGAATTATTATACCATACAAGAATACCTAAGTGAAAAACTTTAAATACAATCTAATTAAAATAGAATATCCTACTTTTGTATTTTAATTGTCCTAATATCTACTTAATTTAAATATCTGCTAAATGGGTAAGTTTTCAAAACATACATTATTTAGTTTATAAAAAAAAGGAAATACTTATTACCAATATTTTAAAGCAGTGTCCTACCCTCTCTCCAAATTGCTGTGCACGATGGGGTCAATAATGATACTTTTGTTTTTCTTTATAATCATCCTAATACTACATCGTGGAATGCAATAAATAAATAAATAGCTCTACTATTTTAAAAATAATTTAATATTAGTTCTGACACAGAATTGACATGTCATGTTTATAAATGCATGTGCTCACGAAGCTAACACCGTGACTACCTATTAAAAAACTGTATATAATGACTAAAAACATATTACAAGGCCCTCATATGTAGACCTGGGCTTACTGGGTGTTGGAGTGTATGCATCTATTTTACTTCAAGGTTTACAGAACCACGGTCGTCCTATTGCTCAAAATTCACAATTAGGATGGTTGATATCTGGAACAACAAAAAATTGAACTCAATCATGTACAAACCAAATAACGATTTCGACCATGGTTACTCTAATAGCACAGTAGTTTTAGATGAAATTTCAACATACAGAACACAAAAAAATGTTAATAATTTTTTTTGTATTAAGTTCAAATACATCACGTGATGTATCTGAACTTAAATAATGTAGAACCAATCACAACGTTTATCACAACTACCGTACTGCCAGACATTACGCGTGCCTTTGATGGAAACTATTAATTTAGAGCGTTGATTACGAACAAATCTCCAATGTTCAGAGACACTTGAGGCTCAAGGGTCCAGCAATGCGTTATTAACGTAAGAGTTATCACTCCGCTAGTGTTTGTTTCAAAAAATGATTGTTAAAACAAAGGTTGCACCAGTTAAACAAGTTTCAATACCTACGTTGGAAGTTTGCGGAGCGGTACTCTTGACGAAGTTACTTAAAGATGTACAAACGAGCTTTCAAGTTTTTCAATAATTTTGGGGATGACTGGAAGAACTGAGATGTGCCTGTAATATATTGAAGTCAGTTGTATCCCAGAAAACACATATTATACACAGGAGCGATGAAAGACTTTTTGTGAGTTGAAAGAAAAAGGCCTTTCCCAAAGCATAGATTAGCCAAGTGACTTAGGACGGGAATATTGAATATATAATAACAAGAAACCTAGCAAGCTTAAAAAATTTAACAGAAATATTGTCGCACTATTCGATTTTAGATTGAATAGAATATCGCCTACTTCCAAAGGATCAGTATCTAGTAAGACAAAGGAGGGTATGTTTGATATTAACAAGGGTAAATAGTTATTTTATTGAGGTAACACATTGCCCATTTGAATGTTTTCAGCGAAATTCTTGCCAATTCTCACAAAGTAACCATTAATATGGTTGAAGACTGCCTCCAGGAGATGAGATTTTAGTATAGGATTACAGGTGATGAAGTAGCGAAGGAGGTTATAATGAAGTAATGATTTGTTGTCGTCTAGTTAAAGCCGGAAAGGTGTCTTAGGACTCTGAGACCGTAACTTTGAAGAGTTCCCGGGGAATAGGCCTTTCAAGAATTTTGATAGCTCAGGGCGAGCTCAAAAACTAGCTTAGGCAATTGTTGCCGTGGAAGTGTATCAGAACTATACGGGCAAGGCTTTGTATACCCGAAGACGAGCTCAAATTTGGAAGCAAACGATTTCAATTTAGAACCCTAAAAATTCAAAAGCTACAGAGTTTCAATACCTAAATATGACAAACATTGAGTTATTTTTCATGATGAGAATTAAGTATAACCACGACAACGAAGAAAAACTTTCATGTCAAATCTGTCAAAGCTATTTAATTTCGTGATTGATTGTGTAATATTAAAATTAATCTTAAAAAAATTGACATAATTTCATTTTAGGTTTGATTCATTTCATTTCCATTTTACATATAAAAAAATAATTTATTTACTTGACATTGGCAGAATTGTGCGAAATGCACAGACAAGCCATTGATTAAAAAAGATATAAAGAGAGTGTAATATTATATAAATAAGTACTTTAATAACATCAGAAATCTTAAAAACGAAAAACTTAAAAGGTAAGGGTTTACATTAGTGTGAGTAGACAAAAACATAGGATGAAAGTTCGTAGAGGTTTGGATAAATTTACGGGTATATTACAGAATTTTAATGAATATAGTTATATGAAGGTCCACAGTCATAGAATGGACAAAATGAAGAATAAATATAATAAAACTAAAAAGCTAATCGATATGAACATAATTACTGATGTGCATTCAAAGAATGATAACTATACGAAAGGTTAGTTACGACCAGCGCATTGGTCAATTTGCTAATCAATTATTCAGCAACTAACTCAGGATCATCATAAAACAGCAAAGTACCAAAGTGATCATATGTTAGGATAGGAATTGCTTTAACATAATCAATTGCTATCATAGTTTTAGAACAGTGTTCCATGCATTTCAATTTAGCTAATTTCATAAATACTGGATAGGGATTAGTTGTAGTTGTTTTTAAAATGCCTATATGTGCAGAATACTTTTTTGATTCAACTTGAGCATACAGTGATCTAGGCAAATGGAAGTATTCCAAATGAAACGAATAGGTATATTTAGATAGGTCATTTTATTATTATTTTCATATGGCCGATCATTTAATTTAGTTATTAAGTTTATATTAATTGCTCCTGTTAAAAATCTGAACCAGATATAGGAATAGTTGTATTGGATAATATGGAATTGGTTAATAGGTCGTATCATAGAGAAGTATCCACGGAAAGATGGTTTAATCCGTGTAGTTAATTAATACTTACCTAATCTTAACCTTCGGATAATTAATAAAATATTTACCTATTTTAGTTTACTTTAGCTAGTTTGTTTTATCCTATTTAAGGACTTGTCGTCCTTGGAGGCCGGTAGTATTGAATATCCCGTACCTATATCTATTGTAAGAGTTTTACTAACATGTAATGTTTAAAACCTCTTTGGTTATTTATGGAAGTTTTTTAATATGTCAACTTTTGTTTAGTTTATACTCTTGTGTGAATAAATATTAAAATTCAAGAAATAGTCACCGTGACCTTAAAAAAATGTTTTATTAATTTTATAAATAATTATGTTCCTATAATTGTATAATATTCTTATTTTTTAGGGTTACGTAACCAAAATGTAATTACAAAATCCTATAACTAAGACTCCGCTCTCCGTTCGTCTGTTCTTCTGTCACCGTACCTATATCTTATGAATTGTGATTAACTATCACAGTTGAAATTTTCACGTATGATGAACACAGAAAAAAGTACAAACATACCTATTTCTGTTTGCTTAAAGTTGCGGGTCGAGTCCCATCTTAGGGTACCTGTGCCTAGTGGATTATTGAAATCATTTTTCATTGAATATGTTCAGTTATTGTCAAATTTTTTGTGGGTAGATTAATTTTTACTTCGCCCATTGAAATTTTCTACAACGACACTATCTCGCCGCGCGCTGAAGAGTGCACAATGTTTGTGTACCGCGTCGTGTGTGAACTGGTTGTGGACGTTCCACCACCCATATAGTGTCTAGACCCGTGGTCATGGCATATCCTTGTATAGACTTGCCCAGCAGTGAGCTGCCAAAGCTGTGCACCGTGTGTACCCGCGAAGCCGAGCTACCATAAGAGTTACGTGTCTGAGAGTGTGGAATCAAGGTAGGTGAAGTTTTGTTATTTGCTCGCCGAAAGTTGGACAAGATTATACACCCATTTCTTTTCAATTCCTTTTGAGTTACAGTCCATTTTGCATAACGTTTGAACAGAATATATGAATTAAAATGTGCTATGTATAAAAATAAAGCTAAGTATTTGGAAATGGAAAAACACATAATCGTTGATATAGTCAATAATACGTCCTAAAAGTTATGGCTAGAGTTATAGTTCTCTTTTTGGGCAGAATTTGGAATCGCCTTACTCTTTAGCCGACTTTGCGCTATGACGCTTTACGCTACGACATCTTAGCGATGCGATATTTTGTTTCATTTTACTACTTTGTCTTTTGTCGCCTAACCGACTAAGTTGGTAACGCTGTTGTGAAATCTATAATTATCATACTTTATTAATTGTTTGTCGTTATTGAAGTATAAAGTTCTAGTGAAATGAAATATTTCCATAACATTGCTCAAATGTAAGTCATGCTCATGCCTAGAGAGTTAAGCGGCCGCATCCATGGTATTGAAAAAATACTGGTGCGACTTCTCCCACACTTATAATAGTCCACGCTACGCCATTGGTGATTACAATAATTCATAGAAACAGCGTCCGGTCATCAAAATTTTCAAACAATAGGTAATAGTGGTAACCGTACAACCTTGAATAATGTAATAAGTAACCTGATTTTAGCACGAGGCTGACAATATT